TTTTTTTGTATTGTCATATAAGGAAAGACATTGGCAAATGTAAATATAAAACATTATAAGGTTTCTAAGACTAAATTTCATGCAACACAATTAACATGATTAAAACATTGATAACAACTATATTGTGTCGTCTGCACAAATACCCTTACCAGCAGGGTAAACTGTATGGAATATGCTCCTGATGTGTATTGTTTGTATGATTTAAATCATTAATAACGGTACGTTTTCGTCTCATTTCATACAATAAGGAGTTCCGAGGTTATTGAATGTTTCGAGAACCTTCTATAATACAGATGATTTCGTATAAAATTCAATTAAAAATTATCACCTTTGCTCATTTTGAAATATTACAGTAAAAAGAAAATTTGAAATTCCACGGAATATATTTTGTTGTAATACAATCTTAAGTTTAAAGTGATTATTTTTTTCTTCAGTATTACCTTGTATTGTGCTGTATTAATATACATATTTACTTATATTCTGCAGAATTTTTTTGTTTTGAGATCATTGTTCATACAGAAAAATAACAAACTTATTGAATTAAACAAATTTTATGACAAATTCAATTTATTTTAAAAATTATTCAGCCTAGTTTGAGTTTAATAATAAATACCCTTTCTGTTTTGTTAAAAAAAGTTCATTGCTGTGGTAGAGGAAGGGATAAATGAATGTTTTTAAAGACTAGGTCTGGAATATGAATAATATACAATATTTTATCTCTCTGTCTGGAATATGAATAAAATCTTTCAAATATCAAGTTGTACATAAATACGCTGTAATAGTTCTATCTACTTCTTCGAATTTTCATTTCTGTGGTTTTCAAGGAGTAATGGAAACAAGTGATACCAGTTAACGCAGTAATGTCCCTTCAGGTACAGACCAATTAGGTTGGCTGCATGGCAGTGATTATACCACCAATCCCTTCTGTACTTTTTTGACAACCCTTGCTGTCTTGACGATCTCGATTATAGAATGGTCGACCGTTATGTGTTAATAAAATATATTAACTATAATTATTTATTAATTAATGTGATTTTTTTCCAAGTTTTTTTAATTTAAGTTTCCCAGACTATTCTTACTATACTGAAATATATTTTCAGGATTATGTTTCCTATGCTACTATACAGATAGCAGAAACTCGCATTTTAAACACGAAATTGAGAACAAAAGACTTGACAACTCCACAAACACAAACATGTGTTTTGAAGTATGCTTACTGACACATGAATTTATAACCATACAAGATGTTGGTTGCGTTGAGTTATTATGAAGTATTTTTAAATGATGCTTTATCATAAATGGCGTTTATTAAATACACTTTTAATTTTATAGTTGTAGTTATAAACACAAATACAAGGACGAGAAAACCTAGTGTAATATGTTTATATGTAAGAGGATGTAAGAACAAGTTAGATTTTTGATTGAATTAATCATGGTAATTGCAAGGTCAAACATTGTTAAGATTTTTTTTAGCAATCTAATGACTTATTCTCATGAAATAGATAAAAATAAAATTTTATTCACTTGCAAAGTCAAACATTGTTAAGATTTTGTTTAGCAATTTGATGACTTATTTTCATGAAGAAAACTCTAGTCAATTGGACAAAATGTCATTTCGAATTCAAAAATGGTTCAGTTCATTACTTGGCAACAAAATTGAAACTGAATATATACATGTATATATTATATCAAATCTATGCCTCCTACAGTTTTCCAGCTATTCGGATAGACAGGTTAAGCGGTACAAAATGTCGCTCTGCTCCGCATGCAGCCCTTTTTAGGGGAAGGAGGTGTTCCTCCTATCTCATACCGTCTTAGCTTGAAAAATTAAAATTGGTCTGGTGAATATACCGTCAGGTTTTTAAAGAGTTAATTTTTTTTGAGAGAGTAGTAATGATTCCAAATCCATTGTTCTAATATAAGGGAAACGGAATTCCGACGATGTGTACGGCCTGAGAGACCATGCAAAAAATGGAAAATCAAGACTTCGAGTGAAAATTAGAAATTGCAGTTGACCTTATTTCACTAAACCCTGCATAAGGTCAAGTTATGTAACATGTATACCAATTTTTCTCTCTTTGAAATGTTATTAGACAATGATTTGGGTATCACGACTCCTTGTAAAACCTCACAAGACTTAAAAAAATTATTTAATGAATTAAATTATATATACAAAATTAATTTCCTAAACACTACGTGAATGGAATTTTGGATACACTAAGATATAGCGTGTTAATTATGATATTGCATGTAAAGTTTTCAGTTATATATTGATTAAAAGGATATCAGTAACCAACAAGTCATATTTATTTTCATTTTGATTACATTTTGAGCATTTGCAAGGAATCACAAAAGGGCGTTAATTTATAAATATGGGTCTCTTACTTTTTTAGCAATTATAAAAAAAAATCAACGTTAATTGTGTTTCCAGGTATTCTTCTTTCAATTTTTTTTTCAGGCATCAGTTTAAAACAATGTTTAAAGAAGTATTACATTATTATTTCATTTTTTGTACCCCTGTAATCAAGCATTTGGGGATAAATAGTTTTGTCCTGTCCATCCGTATGTCTGTCTGCTAATCTGTTTGTCTGCAAATACTTTAAACTTGCCCATATTTTTTGAGTGGATGGGACTATGGCTTTCATAATTCACAGGATTCTGTAACAAAACCTTTCTGAAGGTACCAACAAATTTGACGTCCTGACCTTGATATTTGAACCACTCTAATCAAAAATTTTCAAACTATAACATTGCTTATAACTTGTACAGTTGAAAACGGGGCTTTTATACTTAATAGGAGTATTTATTTGATAAAACCTTTTAGTTGGTATAAGTATTTTTTTTAACTTTTGACCTTCCAATTAGAGTTTGAACCACTTTAAGAAAACCTTCATCCTTGGCCATAACTTTTGAACAGTTAGTACTAGGGCTTCATATTTCACAGGTATATTACTTGTGACAAGATCCTCCTTTTGATACCAACAGTTTCAATTTATTGTCCTTGACTTTGGAGTATGTCATGCATTTCACTTTGAGAAACTCCAACCCTCTCCTATATAAGCTGCCAAACAGGTCATCAGTGTTTCACAAACACATCTTGTTCAGAATTGGTATTTAGTTCCCTAACTTCTTTAGTACCAATGAATACAAAGACGGTGCTGTTACTTGTTGCAATTTTGTGCATGATCATCATGACCAGAGGTGACTCACCGAAACCAAAGACTTTCCGCCATGACTACGCCACCTACAAAAATGTCTGCCGGGAAATGGGTTGGGTGCCAAAGTGTGAATGTCATAAGGAAACCAAGAAAGGTAACCGATTCATAACAAAATCATGTTTATTTATTGCACGAGATTAACATGCATATCAGGTCTACTTAGCGTAAGACACTAAGACAGAGGCACGAGATTTACATGCATATTAGACCTCCTTATCTCCTGACCTATTTCTTGGCGGAATTTACATGTCGGCATAATGATTAAGAAATCAAGTTTTTTGTAAGTTTGAAAAAGTTATTACAGAGAAAACAAATAGAAATGGAAATATTCAGACATCTTCGCTAACCAAAGGTTTCTGATACTCTACTCTCCTCAAAAACCCTTAGCATACGATCTTAAAAATGGATTTTTTTTTCTCTTTACTTTCGAGAATGAAAAAATTAAGTAAACAACGATCGCGAAAAATAGATATGGTGTCATCCAATATCTTAAGATATATATGTGCAAAATATTACTAAGAATCTATATTGAAGATTTGCACTTTAAATTACAAATGAAAAATCTATACTTCTTTTAATTATTCTTTCAAAACTTTCATGATTTAAATACGTTGTTTTTCTCTGTTGATGACGCAGTCTGTGTGTAACATAGAGATCATGTGTTGTCAAGGATTATGAGGAATGTAGTGTATCAGAAACCCTTGGCTAGCAAAGATGACATTTCCATTTCTATTTGTATAAGAATATATATATAAGAATTAAACCGAAACATATACTCTGTACATATAAATTTACCTATCTGTTTTCTCCATTCGTTTTTTAAGGCAGTGTTGCATTTTCGGCTTATCAATCAACTACTAAAAGTTACAAACAACACGAAACATGGATTTTCGATATAGTTGTCGTCAACGACGGGAATTCGTATGAGAAGACAACAGGAATCTTTACTGCACCTTCTGACGGGACATATGGGTTTGCTTGGGCAACATTAACCGATCCAAATAAAATGGCTCATCCCTACCTGAGGGTTAATGGTCACTATAAAGGATTTACAGCATTCAACAACTCCGCCACGTCACAGAGATTTTGGAGTAGCGGCTCTAATACAGTTCTATTTCAACTGAAGAAAGGTGACAAAGTCAATATTGCTTCCGGATATGGGGCAGCATATGCAAGAGAAAGATTTACTTCATTTTCTGGATTGAAGATGCACTGATTTTGTTTAATCGATTTATCTAGCTGAAATTAATCGTAAATTTAAAAAAAACATTGTTTTTATCTTTAAGGCATCTTTAATGTTCAATTTAGATTCAGGTGTCGGGGAAGATGCATTGATTAAGAAAAATTACTGGTTCATTGATTGCTTGATTGCCGTTTGCCTAATACATTGTACATGTAAGTATAATGAATATACAGCTCAACAAACGTTTTAAGCTCACATGGTTTTTCGCACAAATTAAGGTCACATTTTTTTTAATAAAAATTACTATTTTCGATCCTCAGAACGATGACATAGCCCTACGTTATATTGCATATATAACGTCAAGTATAAATGTCCTTTAAAAGTATTACCTTAAGTTTCCAAAGAGGATGTTTTAGAGGGGAGTTTATCAATAAATGGTACGATGTTTCTACTAGAGGCCTCTACCATAGGTTTTATTACAAATAATATAAAACGTGCTTTCTTTGATACAATGTAGTTGAACATTTTAAATTTTCTTCTTAAAGGTGAGTATTTAAAAAAATTTTTTGCTCATTTACCATACTCATCTGGGTTTTGTCGAAATGTAGCATCGAAAAGGGATAACACTGCAGAGAGAAACCATACTACAGTTTAGGATAATGAAGTATTGTTTATTTTTTTTGCATAGTAAATTTTTTCTATGAAAAGGAAAATTCTTCTGCATTTACGGTTTGAAACGTTGAAATTTTGCTGTGGGATGAATCTTTCATGATTATAGATTTTTAGAAGGTGACTCTGAAAAATGCCACCTTATTAACATACAAAGCAGTCAAACAGATGAAAAATACTATTATCACCCTGCGCTAAAGAGTCAGAATGTACAGAAAATACAAGTTACAGTAGCTGTACTGTGCCCGTGTCTATGTTTCTGCAAAGAGCTACTGCTTTCAAAAGAACGGATAAAAAGACAGCTGCAATTGCCAAGAAACTACAAAAAATCAAATGGAAATAATTGTTATTTTTCAGCCAAGAAAATATTAAAGTTCTAGCAATTGATTTGTATGAATTATGTTTTAGTAAATGAAATAAAACTCAAATAATGTAAACAAATACTTTTAAAATGTATTTTGATTTCTCAACACACAATATAACATTATAACAACGTGACCTTAATTTGTGCGAAAAACCATGTGAGCTTAAAAAGTTTGTTGAACTGTATAGTGAGAAAGACGACTTTTTAAAGAAAGCCTAATAAGTCAATTTTTGTAAGAAAACCTAGGTCATGGATAGATATACATTCGATATTCAAAATGTTAAAAGAGAAATAGCTACATGTAATGGTAAATTAACAACAAAACTTTAATATAAAGATGAGTTTAGCTGCTCTATTGTCAAATTCTTTTTATAAAATAAGACAGTTTTTTTTATGTAAGAGCAGTTGTAAAATATGCTCCTGCATATCGAGTCACTGATGAGAGATATGTATCATATCTAATCACTGAAAGATATGTATCCTTTATAGTTTATACAGGAGCTAAGAATGTATTGCTTCATACATAAGGCAACTTAAGGATAAAAAAATCCCTGTAAAAATAATTTTTAAAAGACAAGCATCTTTTTCAACGAAGCACTTACTGTTCTTCAACCTGTTTATGGTGTTGAAAATGAGTAACTATTAAGCAAATGTTTGTTCTGTATTTTTACCTGAATAAAACTGTATAAAACTTTTGGAAACAGCATTTAGCTACAATATGGGTCCTTCCTAATTAAATAATATGTTTTTGTGGAGAAAACTGGTTTTGAAATCTTCCATTATTCTGCTTACGATCTAGTCTCTTTAATATTTGTTTGGTTGTTGTTTTCTACAATTGATATAGAAGCGTTAACATTCTATATGAACGCTTTCTTAAAATTAATTATCATGTGTCCCTAGTCTTTATAATATTTGTATTGAAATAGGCTGTAAGAGTGCTTTATTGCTTGAGGTGGGATTTTGTTTCTCACATGAAGCATTTTCTTATCCAATTTATACATTGATCATACTAGCATATAATCAAAACTAACTTGAGACTAAAAGTCAGGAAACGCGATTAATATGACATAACTATTTAATGCAAATGAATTGTGCTTCTGCGTAGTTGTCCTACCTGAAATTTGAATTGTATGTTTTATTTACTAGTATACGATAACGTCCGTTTTCTTCACATTTCATAGAAAAAAGGAGTTCAACACTCAAAAATTACCAGGAGTTATTGAATGTTTCGAGAACCCCTTATACATGTAAAACAGTGGATTTTCTTATTAAATTGATTACAAAATCATCACTGTTGTCAGTTCTGAAATATCGTCATCAATTTAATGCAGTTAAAAGTATATAATTATGTAATTGCATTGAATATCTCTTGGATTGACATAAATTTAAATTTAATCTGATTTTATTTTTGGGGGTTCCAGATGACTTTGTATTATGCTGCACATGAATATACACTGCCTGAAGGAATGATTTTTTTATTGTTGTTTTCTTGCTTAGATATAATTGTTTAAACAAGAAAAATACATTAAACATTGCTTGGCCTGAATTAAATCAGTTTATTCTTATACTGAGTATGGAACTACAATTCAACTATCTTTGCTAGCCTTGGGTGTTTAGTCTGCCCTGCCCATGAGCAAACCTAGAACCCTTCCAATTGGCTTGCAAAGTTGCAGTGCAATGTCATTTGAATAAAAACTAATATTTATGATCGACCGTTATGTCTTGCTAGAGAATCGCCTTATAAAAACATTTTAAATATATTTTGAAAAACGATCAAAGATCAATAAATCCAAGCTTATTTCTTTAAAAAATCTGTGCATTTGGTCTCTCTTATGAAAATATTCATACATCGCACGACATGAAAATTGATCATTAATTTTTAAAATTTTAGAAACAAAAAAGTAATGTTATTTTTTTTTTCGAAAATTACCTGCATTTCCCTCATATTCTTCGACAGTCAAACGGTAGCTGGAGGCTTCGTTACCGAAAGAAAATGTTCGATAATAAGCATGGTTCTTAAAATCTGAGAGATCCACTCTCAGCTCATACCAACCCTGAGATGTCAGCTGATTTATTCGTGGGTTACCTGGTTCACAACAAAGAAAGTGCCTAAGGTAAAAATATTCCTAGATGTACATTTTTTTTCAAAATGAATATTTTTTTAATGATGCAAACATACATGTGTAATTAATTTTCCCGTTGAGGAGAAATTAATATTGAATTTGTAATCAGCGACAAAAGAAAAATAAGGTTTACAACAAATATAGAGAAACGCGACTAAATAAAAATATATAAGTATGTTTAACTTAAATTATTGCTTCTAAAATGATAGATTAATCATTTTTAGTCCATCGATTGAATGATAGAGAGAGAGAGAGAGAAAGAAATAGAGATTCAGTCAAACGCAAAAATCTAAGTGGACTTAAAAATAAGAATTGCGATTAAGTCCTTTGAACTTCTTGTTTTTATAATTTTATTTCATTATCTCATTTTTTGGAATTTATTTGCTTAATCTTTAATTATTTTTTAACAAATAAGTGAATGTACATAAATTTTGCAAAATGCATTAAAAAGTTGATTTATACATTTCATCTGAAAAATAATGGAAATATAAGTGAGCGATCTCATAAAAACTTTAAAACAGTAAAAATGTAAGATTAAGGAAAAAGATGGACTCCTTTGACTTACCAATCCAATGCACTCGGAACACCAAGTCCATACTTGTATTCCTTCCAATGTCTGTTGAATCCAATTTTTCCATTCTGTCGTCTTTGAAAAACCTTATGTCATGAAAAAGACAAACAAAAAGTGATCGATTTCCAATTTAATCTATGAACAATAAAAATATGTTATGGGATACTAAAGTTAACCCAAACCCCTGAAAATACCAGAGGTGGCAGTTTAAGTGCTTAGGGGAGTGAGCGTCCCTTATTGACCGATCACACACACTCCCTGATCCCTTTGTATTGAAAAATTTGACGGAATATACTATATTCGAATTTAGTTTGAAAGACGGGATTGTGAATAGTATTTATTAAAAATGTTTAGCTGATTTTACCGTCCAACCACCACCGGTAGTTGTCATGTCGCAATAAACCTGAAATCCATCGATTCCCTTAGGGTAAATTGTGTACACACCGCTTTTAGTATAATTCGACCAAAGTAAATCTTGGCAATCCTTTGGTAAGAATGGCATTACAAATACATTTATCAGATAACAACTTTACGATTGTATTTTTTAAAAATTATTTGTATTTCCCTCTGAATTTTATGGTTAAATTAAAGTTGATAAACAATCTTTTAATTAAACGATCTTGAAATATACTCACTAGACGCCAAAGTTAATATATTTTCCGGGATTATGGAAAGCCATGATACAATACAGATGACAAAAACAGCAACTCGCATTTTCTAACAGTTCTTTTCCTCACCGTAGAGAGAAGAAAAAATTTTAAAAATCAACACGTACAAAGCATATGTTGTGAAGTATGCTTTTTGACACGTGAATTTACAGGCGCACAAGATGTTTGATTTCATCAAGTTTTGAAGTTATTTGAATAGTGCTTATCTTGAAACACAATGTGACAGATGAAGGCAAATCCTGCTGTATGATTTTTTGTGACTTATCTAAGGCCTTTGACCGTGTCTGGCACAAAGGACTCTAACTTAAATTAAACATGTATGTTGTAAAGAAAGATATGTATAGTTGGTAAAAAAGCTATTTAGGGAACAGAACTCAAAGAGTGATATACAAAAACCTGGTATCCCCTACTGAATCCCTTTATGCAGGTGTTCCACAAGGCTCTGTATTAGGTCCTTTGTTATTTTTGATTTATGTGAATGATGTAGCTGATAAGATGTCAAGCTTCTGTAGACTTTTTGCTGACGATAACAGTTTGCAATATGCATCTAAATGTGTCAAATCTATAGAAAGTCATCTGAATAATGATCTTTTATCTCTTGAAGAGTGGTCTAAACAATGGTTGCTAAAATTTAATCCCT